GCTGAGCTTAATGAAGTTAGAGAGACAATTCAACAGCTATTGAAATGGGGGTGGAAGTATAACCGAAACCTTGAGGAGCAGGCTGCCCAACTTCATATGTTAGCTGGGTGGTCTCAGATTGTAGAGGTTAGTTGCTTTCTTAAAAAAGTTCAGATCAGCTTAAGTGTCATGAGTGTGTGCTTTCTTAAACGATTCACATCAGTTTTAGTATCAATGAGTGTGTGCTACCCTTTCAAGAAATCAAGTATTTATCTTTTGTATTGTGCTTCATCTATTTATTTTTTTGTCTTAGGTGTCTGCTTGCAGAAGAATATCTTCTTTGGATAATCGGTCTGAAATTTTGTACCGGTGAGTACCTTTTATGCCAGAGATAAGTTGCTTGTGAATCTCTCTTGAACATTGCATGACTTGTTCTTCTCTGGTTATTGGCAGGATACTTGATGCCTCTCTTAGTGCCTCTGCTTCTCCAGATTGCTCGTTAAAAATGGCATTTGTACTTACTCAGGTGCAATTTAAGCTTTGAGTAAATTATCTTCTATAAATGTGCTGACCATGTACTAACTTTAGGTTTTATTAGGTCGCTCTTACCTGCATTGCCAAACTCCGTGATGATAGATTTTTGTTTCATGGTGCCTTGAATTCTGACACGGTGACATGTCTAGATGTTATGATGGTAAAACATTTATCCTCTGGTGCTTGCCACGCAGTTCTATTTAAACTTGTTATGGCAATTCTAAGGCACGAGTCATCAGAATCCTTGAGAAGACGGTATGGTTCTAAATTCCAATACTTCTACTTAGTTATATAATACAACATAAAGGCATATTCTGCCCAGATGATATATTTTCAGTGATTCTCCGCTTCTAACACATTTTCCTTTCAACATCAGCCAATATGCATTGCTCTTGAGCTATTTCCAGTACTGTCAGCATATGATTGCTCTGGATGTGCCAACATCAGTCGTGCAGTTCTTGTTGCTTGATGAACAAGATGGTGAAGATTTAGATATCCAGAAGGTATGTGTTTGCTGATTAGCCGAGACTTATTTTGTTCATACCTTGTTTCGATGTTGATTTTTTTTCTGTTTTTTTCAGATTGACAAAGAGCAGGCTGACCTTGCTCGTGCCAACTTTGCTATAATAAAGAAAGAAGCTCAGGGTATCTTGGATCTGGTAATTGTTAATTCTCTATCTAATATTAGCATAATCATTTGCAATGTTTCACAATGAGAATGCGAATTCCAGGTAATCAAGGATGCATGTCAAGGCCGTGAGTTTGGAAAAACGATATCACTTTACGTGCTGGAAGCTCTTGTTTGTATTGATCACGAGAGATATTTTCTTAGTCAGCTTCAGAGCAGAGGTTTCATACGGTCTTGCCTTGGCAGCATTAGTAACATCTCGTACCAGGTATTTTTCCAGTGAATTACTGATCGTAGAAATTGGTATGAATATTGTCGATCACTTTGAATTGGCTCATTGCTGTGAATTTTCTGTTTGTTTCAACTTCTGGTAATAAATTAATTTGGGTTTGGCTTATAAATCAACAGCCGTAGATTAAATTGCATTAGAGCCAATAATGCTCTTTCAGTGTGGGCAAGTTTACACATAATAATTGGAGCTCACCGTATATATGCATATGCAAGATCTTCAAAATAAAATTGCAAACATGTCAAATCTTCTGGCCAATTTTACACTTGGTTTGACTTCTGATCCATAAGAAAGCGTATACACCATTTACAGAGTCGTATTAGGGGATTATAAGCTTCATACGCTGCTAGTTTTAATACTTTCCAGACATGATTTATATGTGGGTATACTTATTCCGAGGACTTGCATTCATGCATGTGTATTTATAATATCATTGGGCCCAGGATGGAACACATCTGCTGGAGTCACAACAGCGAGCGTGTACCTTAGAAGCAGAATTTGCATTGCTACTTAGAATTAGCCACAAGTATGGAAAGTCTGGAGGCCAGGTTCTGTTCTCCATGGGTGCACTTGAACATATCGCCTCATGTAGAGCTATCAGCTTCAAGGTAAAATCTCATTTGTAGTCATCAGGTATTCTATATGCGACGTTGATATATTATTTGCTTATAAGCCCAAAACTAACTTCCAGGGAAATATGAGGCGGGCCGATATGAAACTTCAGAGTGATGCAGGATATGATGGGCAAAAGCAAAGAACAATAATCACTGCTGTTCTAAGATTGGTGTTTGCTCTAACTTCATTGGTTGAGACCTCTGAGTTTTTCGAGGTTAGTCTCTATTCTCTTGATGACCTTTTGTCTTGTTTAGTTAGCTTGAGTTGCCAATGTAACACTATCTTTCAGTATTGTTTAAAAACCTGTGTTGTTCGACGTATTATAGAAACCTGAATGAATTTATTGTACCAATTGTTGACTTAGTCCCTAATATATACATCTACGATGCCTCTTAGAAGTAGAAGTAAGAGATAGGTACTCATATTTCAAAGTTAAGTTATACAAGGACAGTAGATTGCTGGCATTTGCAGTATTTTAGGAAGACAGAAAAAACTAACAGTGAGATGTCAGAAGTATTTGTAAATTTATTTTATGAGATTTCCTGAGTACCTGATCTAGATTTCTTGTCGTCGGTTTTTTTTTACCTGGTTTCTTGAAATGCGAACTATAACTATTATTTTCCTTGTCTGTTTACCTGGCGTTTAATAGGGGAGGAATAAAATTGTTCGTGAAGTCATTGAGTTTATCAAAGGACATCAATTGCTTTTTGACCAACTTCTTCGTGAAGACTTTACTCAAGCGGATGATTCATTGAAGGAGCAAATTATCCTTGCAGTAGGGATATTAAGCAAGGTAATTCTTTAATGTGCAATAATTTTCTTAATAATTTCCTGTTAAAGAACTTTTGCTCCTCTTTTCGAAAATTCCATTTTCCTGAAATCCCACAAGCTAGTTAAGATGCGTTTTCCTAGATAATGAGGTTGATTGTTTTGTAGGTCTGGCCTTTTGAAGAGAATGATGAATATGGATTTGTTCAAGGGATGTTTGATATGATGAGCAAGCTTTTCATCGTCTCCCCCATTACTAAATCGATATCATCGCGAGTAGGACAAGTAGTTGAGGTACATGGAGGAGTATTCTAGTATGTCATAAGTTATTAGCATCTGGTCTACCATTCCTCGGTTTCTAATATTTTCTGGGTTTCTCTTTTGTTTCCTCATCTGGTGGACAGAAGGGATCAGAGCTCAAATTGTCTCAGTTGCGATTCAGCTTGACTTCTTACTTATATTTTCTGGTGACCAAAAATTCGTTAAGGTTGCAGGTACGGTTGTAGCCATTTCCCGTTGTTTTTTCAATCCACTTTCGATAGTTGTTTTTAATCAAAACATAAGTAAATACTCAAGTCTCTTCTCTATTCCCCACAACCACAGGTTTTAGATGATTCTTACGATAACTCCACTAAACTACGGCAACCAACATTGATGCTGCTTGCATCTCTTCTTTCGCATGTGACTGATTCTCTTGAGAGCGCAGCAGAGAAAAAGTCTTTACTCCTTCACAAGGTTAATATTATCATCTTAAGTTCTACTCTACATTTTTTTTGTAAAATATGTACTCAAAATTGTATGTGTGATTTGCAGATTAGAGACATAAACGAGCTCTCTAGACAAGATGTAGATGCGATCATCAAAATGTGTGATTGCCAAGAATATGTCGCACCATCCGACAACATACATAAAAGGTTAGTGAACTTCTTTCTTTTGCTCGCTCATCAATGTCATCATGCGAAAACAGAAGTGATTCACGTAGATATATTGTGTCATGGAAATGTGACGTGAAGAGGCGCATGCTTTATGCAATTACTGCCAGTATAAAACGCTTTGTGTAGTGTATTTACGTGCTTGTGGCTTTGTTATGAACTACAGGAGATACATAGCTATGGTCGAAATGTGCCAAATCGTGGGTAACAGGGACCAGTTAATCACCTTGTTACTACAACTAGCCGAGCATGTACTAAATATCGTCCTCATCCATCTCCAAGATAGGTATGCCTCTAAATCTTCAACAATTAATCGTAGGCGCATGCATTAAACACTTTGCTCCCACGATTTAATGCTAAACGGTTAACATTTGCAGATCTGTAATTTTAAATGAAAGGGTATCATATGGTTCAAAATCACATCAACAAGAACAGGATGTTACTGATCTCTGTGGCAAACTGTCACCTACCATAGAAAGGCTTGCGTTACTGAATGAGGTATGGCCTTTTATCTACATGACAAATACTAAGAATATATGCTACAAAGTGAAAAAGTGGTGACCCAACTTCTCTTATCGCAGGGAAAAGTAGGACACAACCTGAAGCTTTTCCAGAGACTGGCGACTACTGTAAAAGAAATTGCTGTCCAAAAGTGTCTGTGATTGGCTCCTCAAGAAAATGTAGAGAATTCGTATCTGCTTACTGATTAAACGATTTTGTATGAATTGTATTGTGGGTTTTGTATAACTGGGCTCAGGGATTTTCAATTACGATTTTTGCAAGGTGTGTGACCTGTCCCTTGATCCACTCAGATATAGTCACACATTAATGAAATATTTTCGGACTGAATGTCATCGCGTCTCTCTAATCATGCATACACTTACTCGTTCAAGAACCACAGTTCTCATTTGGTGTTAATTATTATAAAGTTTGGTCCAAAAAGATTTAAAAAAAAAATAATAATAATATATATATATATATATAAATTATAAGTAGATGTTAGATACACAAATGTTCCAGTGTTTACTGCTTAATGCTTAGTGGTCTTGTAAATCTGGTGTCTGAAATTGCAAACTTGGGAGCTTCTCCGTCTGTTTCTTCAAACGAGTCGATACGAATCCAGCTTTTCCAAGCCAAGATCTCTCGTTGTTGTTAGGCAGATCTGAAATCACAAAAGCTAAATTCTTTTGCTTCCCATTTGATTACAGAGATCCAAACTTCCTGTCGGAGAAGAACACATCTCGTGGCCATTTCCATGGCGAACGCCTGGAAAAGGGACAAGAACCAGAAGCTCTTAACACCCAAGACCTTAATCTCTCTTCTCGTCCTCTCCATCATCTTCCTCTCCTCTCTCTTCTTCTTCTCCTTCTCCTCTCTCCAAAACTCCAATCCCTCTCTTTCCATCAACACTCAATTCCCAATCCCTCCTTTCGACTGCTTCAAATGTCCCCAATCAAAACCCATAATCGCAAACGTCGTCGAGAATCTCAAATACCCTTTCGTCTATTCGCTCGCTGATCTCGGTAACCTCCCAGAGAAGCCGCACAAGAACATCGTGAGGCTGCTCAAAGGAAAGCCCTTTCGTAAACCGGACATCTCCGCCACCATTCAGGAGGTTCTCGAGACCATGAGAGCCAATGGCAAAGATGGGTTCGTCGTCGATGTGGGAGCTAATGTCGGTATGGCTAGCTTCGCAGCGTCGGCTATGGGGTTTAAAGTGCTTGCCTTTGAGCCTGTTTTTGAGAATTTGCAGAGGATTTGTGATGGGATTTGGTTCAACAGAGTTGCCTCTTTGGTTACAGTCTTTGAAGCTGCTGCTTCCGATAGAAACGGCGACATTACCTTCCACAAGGTATGACATTTAGTTCATGTCAGAAAGAGTAGTGGCAAGGAGATTCATTTAGACGTAATACTGAGCGAGAGGGTTTGGGGATTTTTGTTGAAGTTTTTAGCTTTGCAGATGATTTATTCGAGTTCTTGGTTTGGCTGGAAAATCAAGAACCGACCGAACCTATAAGTCACTTCATAGCTCTCTAACTAAAACTCGTGGAACAGATCGTGTTATGTCTCTGTTCTTGTGTTAGTAAAGTCTTACTTTTTTTTGGGTGCAAATAGTAAAGTCTTACTTATGATTCTTCTTTATCAGTGTATTGAGAACCTAGAAGTCTTTCCTTTCTGAGTTCTCTTGCTTCTTGTTGCTGGTATTGAGAGATTACTATTACCTTTGGCTTCACTTTATTGTAAGCCAAACCATATAAAAGATTTTGAAATTGTGAAAATGATTCTTCCTATTTGGTAACTGTGGATTCCATTGTTGTTGATTACAGTTGGTTGGACGGCTTGACAACAGCGCGGTCTCGGAGGTTGGGGCAAGACTTGCATTCAAGTCCAACAAGGAAATAGCAGTCCAAGTGAAAACAATACCTCTTGATGAACTCATCCCACCTTCTCAGCCTGTTCTTTTGATCAAGATCGATGTTCAAGGTTGGGAGTACCACGTTTTAAAGGGCGCAAAGAAGCTGCTCTCAAGGAAACCAGCAGAAGCTCCTTATCTAATCTATGAGGAAGATGAGAGACTGCTCAAGGCAAGCAACAGTAGCTCCAAAGAGATACGTGATTTCCTTAAAAGCGTTGGATATAGCAAGTGTAGCCAGCATGGCACAGATGCTCATTGCACCAAGGATTAAAACACATTGGACTTGCCAAAAGTGGTAGAAAGATGCCATACAAGTTGAGGGAGATGAGGCATTGATTAGTTATGGTCAGTCATGTTTGTTTCTCCTTGTAATATGTTACTCAATCTTTTGTTATTCATTTCAATGATTCATATCAATGATCAGTTCTAAGTCTAACTAGTAGATATATGACTTTGTTGATGCTCCATTGACTAGTCAGATGTACACTTATCATTGAACATACCATCAAGTCATCAACACCTATTTAAGCAATAAATGGCACACACTTTTTAACCTTGAACATAGTGATAGCTTTGTTGAAGCAAAGAAGAGTTTCATACAAGCAGAAGAAAATCAATATAATACAGGAATATAAAACTTGAGCAGGGATTTTAGTTGCCACAAGCCGTATTTGAGTGATCTATAAGAGAGATTGTAGAATCAAATCAGGACAAGATGAGACGAAGTATCTCACCAGAATACTTGAAAGATTTCTCAGTCTCTTCCAAGCAATGATTCTTCTCTTCTCTCGTCCACTCCTCTGCAACTTTGTTCAGTTTCTCCCTCACGTTCTGCAACAACTGAGAAAGCTCGCCGTCCCATTTGTAGAAATCGAGTTCTTTCTTGTCTAGTATCATCTCTGCTACCTGCAAAATTCATAAAGTTTTCAGAAAGAAGTCTTTCAGCTTATCATCTTCCAAGCGAGTTTTATCACACAAAAGTTTTTTACCTTTCTCCCAATCATTCGTCCCCCGGCGCTGTGAGCAAAGTAGATGTTGTAGAAGTGACAGATGAATGCTTGAGGATCTTTCTCTGCTAATTCCTTTAAATACTGAGCATATGTTTTACCAGGAGCAGTTGGTTCTGGAATCTCATAACCTTGTTCCTCGAACCACTTCAAATCAATGGCCAGTTTCTCCGCCCTTTCCAGTCCAGTGTTCTTGAATTCAGCATCTACAGATGGCACAAATGGACCAAAAGTAAGAGACAAGACAACATTAAAAGATTGATGAACTTTCAGTGTGAATCAAATCCAAAACTCTCAGTAGATTTCACAAACTGCCTCAAACATAATTAGACTCTATATTAAGGTTTGCAATGACATATATGGACCAAGAAAACTAAGATTAGTGTCACTCAAGTCCAAGTCAATCAGTAGAACATATTTTCACCACCACTGAAGATAATCCCAAATCACTCAAATCCAAGATACCAAAATATGTGAAGGAATCAAACCCCAAAACAAGATAAGAAATAGGTCAAAAGGAATCATCTTTAGGTCAAAAGGAAACATCTTTACTCAATGGGTTAGGTGCTAAGATCTAAAACAAACGTAATTCTCCAAAAATCAATTCAACTTTCAAATAGATTTCAATTTCAAAGAAGAAGAAGAAACTCACAAGTTGGGGAAGTGGCTTCGTTGATAATCCCTTCAAGAGTGTCGTAAACCAATTTACTGTCGACTAAAAACCTCAAGTAACCATCCACCGTCGGTTCCCATTTCGCCACCGGACGTTCCTCGGGAGATTTAGTCTCTTTCTCTCCTTCCTTGGCTTGCTCCTTGGTGTGCAATTTCATCGCCACAAACCTCATCTCCTCCACAAAGCCCTTTGATTCTCCGGGATACCTCTTTTTCTGCTTCTCCGCCGCCGTCGTGGCCGCAATCACCACCGCCGACGAAGAAGAAGACGACGTCTTGGTCATGGGGATCCTTAGATTTTGAATCGTGAGGCGAGAGAGAAGTGGGTTTGGTGGGGAGAAGGAGAAAGCGAACTGGAATCTGGTGAGTTGGGGGTTTTTGAAGATGGATAAGGATGGAGAAATCGGAGCTGTGTAAGCCATGGTTGATGGGAGAAGAGGAAGCAATAAAGTATGGAGGGTTTCAGAAGAAGTCACGCAATGGAGTTAGGTGCCTTGAAGTAATAGAGAAGAGAAGAGAAGAGAAGACTAGAAGAGAGAGGGACACACAAATTCTAAATTGAATTTCTAAATGGGGAAATTGTCCATTTCTGTATTTAGCAGAACGATAATAAAACAGTAAACATGTTTCTTTGTCCACTGCAGATTAAAGGAGGAAAAAAAAAGGAATTAGCATGTTTTATCGCGCCGCACGACATTCTAAACGAAGATAACGATACAACTCTAAGGTCAGTAAAAAGTTATTTTTAATGAATTTCGAACTTAATATTGAGTGATTAGATTAGATATGTATAATCAAATACTACTGTCACATTTTGTACTTCTGAAATATTTTTTACTACTGTATACTATAAAAGTATATTTTACCTTTTGACAATACAATTTTCATTTCAGGAATGGATACGGATTTTTCCTTTTTCTAGTATTTTTTCTTGGTTCATAAACACAACCCTTTTTATAAACTTTCACAATGTTCCCCAACAAATCCAAGCAATAATTGAGAAATCTGGAGGTTACGTTATTCAGTCAATTCGAATAAAGAAGACATTTAATATGAACTAAAATGCTTGGCTGACATATACACACAATAAAAAAGGACTTATGGGTCGTCGTTAGCCCATTTATCATAACACGAGTCCAGTTTAGATATCTCTTTTCCACTACATGTAAAGAGTTTTGTTATGAGACTTCCACTTTATATATATATAAAAAAAAAAGATTTCATTTCATATTTCGAATGAGGGATATCTAATAAATGTTACATTTTAAGCTTTAGAAGTAACATACTTTAGACCTTCTAATTCAATCAATCATAGAACTAAGCTCTTTATTGTGTTCATCCAATCATTTTGGATGTGACCTTATTATGTTAGCATAAGGTCTAGTGTATCGTCACGCTTGATCATATTTTCAACACTACTAAACCGTTTTCTTCTCATTTCTAATGACGTTACAGAAAATAACAAAACCTTACTGAAACCCACACACAAGAAAGGCTCATACATTACAAACACATATATCTCCTATATCCGTGACAAAGAGCAGACACCACACAAAACGATGAAATGGTTTACAATCCTTTAGCTCTCACAGAGAAGAGCAAAATGATTTTCCTTCGCAATTCTTTGTGAATAAATGACAAGAGAAATGGAACAGTATTAGAAGGTTCTTCTTTCACCAATCTAAATAAAAAAGAGACTGATAATATATTCATGATACGCAGCAAAATTAAAAAGAAGTAGACGCGAATAAGTTTTGAAATGTGGAAAGATGATCACAGTTCTAAGTTTTTGTTCCATCTTTTACAACTGTAAGCGTATTCGATTAATTGTACATAACTATTTAATTAAACAAAAAAAAAACAGATTAAAAAAAAAAAGTCAGGATTTATTTGGCTACTTGTTCAAGAACACCAACTTTCTTCTTCCAGGAATCATCTTCCAATCCTCCACTAGCTTGTAACGGTGGCAACGAGAAAACGCTAACCGTGGAGCTACCACTGCGAATCTCCTTCAACACCCTCAACGCCGACACAGTGCTCTTCATATACAAGCTCTCCATATACTCAATCTCAGACAAATCTTTCGGAACTCGAAGAAGATCGGTCTCCGTCTTAACCGTTCCAGAAGTCGTTGCCTCTCCTTCTCCTTCCTCCTCCTCCTCCTCCAGACTCCGGCTCTTGTTAGATGGGAAGAGCCGGTCGAGCATCGCCTCGCACTCTTTCACAAACGTGTTGAGTAGGTCCGTCGTGAAGAATGGTTCTTGCAGAACCTTTTGAATGAATGGTAGTCGTATAAGAGCACCAGTTCTCTTGTCGTACTTTTTCAGAATCTTTGCTAATCCTGCAAGTAGAGTAAACCAATTACAACCCAAGCGAATCAAGAATAAAGGTAAACAAAAAGCATCTTCGACGAGTGGCTAATTAATCAACTTATAAAGCATATTCTTTTCTTGTAGGGACATTTTAATATATACCAATCGTGAAAGAATATATGACTCTTTCCAAATACACTAATGCAAATTCCTACTAATTTCTTGCAAAAACCATTGACCTACTCAAATTTTCAAGCTAAGTAAAGTGTTTACATGGAGAAGAAATGAGAAAGATGGTTTTTTTACCTGTGTAGTTAAGAGCACTGTAATTCATCAACAAGACCATTTCTCCATGAAAGTCTACAATCTCCTTCTTTATTTTCATCATCTCTTCGTTTGAATTCTTTGCCTTTGCCACTTGATCCTTCAATTCCTGCAAATTTCCAATTGAAAATGCTCTGTTCTTAAAACAAGGACCTTTAAAAAACTTGTATATGATTCAATTAGGTTAAACAATGATTCAATGGATTTGAAATCGCTTAGAAATAATCAGGACATCAAATTTAAGATTCACACATGAATACACCGGAATTTTGAGATTCCAGATTGAAGAAAACAGAGCTCCAAGCAAAATTCGAGAGAATAAAGGATGATATTGATAAGTCATTTGATTGGAAGAGATTAGGAAGTTACCTTTAATCGGATGATGTACTCTTCCTCTTTCTCGACGAAGAAGCAGTTGAATTTCTCGAGCTCGTCTTCGAGGAGGCGAATGAAATCGATCTCCTCCTTGGTCATACCGGCCGTTGGATCCGCGGCGTCGGCGGAATCCGGGTCGGATCTGGAGCGTTTGTTGGGGCGATCCTCGGCGGCGCGAGGCTCCATGAGCTTAAGCTTCTTCTTGAGATCCTTGTAGGAGAGGAATTTGTCTTGCCATTCTGGTAAAGTTTCTTCGATCTGGTTGCTAAGGCTCTTGCCGAATTTCATGGCAGCGAAAAAAGAAAAATCGAAAAAAAGTGTGACGAATCGTTGAGGGGATTGCTCGTGGCTCATATAATCGTGTTTTTATTTAATTGTTCGAATATTCGTAGCTTTGTTTTTGGAATATCCATTTTTTTAAGTCTCGTCGAGCATATCTCTTTAATTAATTTATACCTCAACCGGTCGAACCGAAATGTTCGGTTTTCTTATTTTTTGTCCGGTTTTAAAGAACATATCAAAGCTTACTGCTACAAGAAGTTCATCGAGAGTGTGACTGTGTGAGATGTGCTTTGAAAGTTGAAACAAAACAAATTTGTTCTAGATTCAAGGGGTTTTCGAAAGATGTGGATATGGAGAAGATTGGTTTCTATGAGGATGAACGAAGTATGGAGAAAATATGTCAACGGATTCAATACAAGTTGATTCAATACCTTTGATTATGGCCGTTTGTTTTATTAAGACTTTATAGCAAACAAACCCCTCAAAGATGGATCGGATAAAAACCCCTCAATTGTTAAGTTAATGATAAAATCTCTCATGTTTATATCATTCATTTTAAGAATCTCTCTGTCTACTTTATGGTTAAAACTGGACAGACACCGTTTATCAAAACTATGCGTTCTAACAAACCAAAAAACGACATGTTTTTCATTGCAAACTTTGATTAAAAATTCCCAATTCAAAATCCAAAAATTAGGTTTTATATTTCATCACTGTTGGATCTTAAAAAAAAACAGAGCTTGAAGCCAGGTCCAGATCGGTTTACGTAGTGTATGTCTCATTGTAAAATGGGTTGCTTTTGTTCTTTGGTTTTTCGGAAACAGAGCTTCACTGAAATTTTCTCATATACTGGATAATCAAATCACCAGAAATTGTTAATTCATTCAAAATTAAATCTGGGGTTTCAGTAGTTGCCTAGTTGGGTTGATGAATTTAGGAATTGGTATGTTTTTGGTTATCTAATAAATTTATATTTGAAATAAATCAAGAAAAAAATGATTTGAGTTGTACATTTCATCTACAATAACAACTTAATTACTGATAACGTTAATTACACATTTATAAATAGCTTTGAAAAAACTGTAACTTAAAACAAAGTTATTTCTATAACGTTGTTTATAACATTGATTAGGTCATTAGTCATTGTATAACGTAAGTAGAAACACATATAAATATGACATTATCTAAGTCTAATAAACTCTACAACAAAAAAAAGTTTGAACATTTAGTAAGAATAATATCATTGCAAGTATTTCTCATTCTTTTTAAGGAAAATGAAATCAAGTATTTTATTTTTAATTTTTCCAGTTCTTCTTTTGTCATGTGAGTTTTTTTATTACTTTCTTATGTTAAGATGTAGAAAGTTTTATATTTTTTTGGTGGAAATATTAATTTAACGAATGACTTTTTTTTTGAAAAATTTGTAGGTGCATCTAATATTATGGCAAAATATAATTCCGATGAGAGAGCAGATATTTCTATTCCACATGCGAGCCCTCCAATTAATATTCAGGGAAACGGAATTCTTCCACCAGACGAACATTTTAAACCCTCGGCCTCTAATGGTAGTCTTGGATTTTGCAGTGAATGTGCATATCATTGTCAAAGAAAAGATAGAAGGCCTATTTCTTGTCTAGGGTCTAAATGTCGTTGCTCTCTAAAAAGTATAAGTGGTGGTAACAAATAATATGACTAAAAATAAAATTATATAATCGGTGCCGTTCAAAGTCAAAATGTTTTTATTTACAGCTATTGAGATGTGTAATGAACTGAATTTAGCATATAAATGTGTTAGACATACACAAATACAAGAGACTCTTTTATTTTAAAGACCTTACCTACATGAACCATGTCTTTACCTTTGGTTGTGGCGGTTTCTTTTATTAAATCAAACAAAGTTTATGAACTGGAGAAATAAGAGAAATGTCAACGGATTCAATACAAGTCGATTAACAAGTCTAAAAGAAATAAGAGTTTGATGATTGTTCCAACAAGTATGACCATGTATGACTTGGAGTTTTCACAGAGTTTTTATCCCTCAAGCAGTTTGATTAAGGAAGAGATTTACATAAGGTAGAGCTTTGGATAGAGATTTATAGCTAGTGAGCAAGAGTTATACAATTCAGTGAAAATGGGAGAGACTGTTAGCTCCAAGACTATAAGCGCCTTGAGTAATGATCAGATTACTAGATATGGTGTTACTTACATAACCTATATATAGACCCGAGTGTGTCACCAGGCAAGTCCATTTACTCGTGAAGATGCTTGTACACTAATTTAATTAGTTTGGATGTTTGGCCATGTATCGGACTATATTTGGCGTATTTAACTAACACTTAAAAAAAAAAATTGGTTTCACTCGGGTCTAACCAGACGATACACTAGAACATGCATTGTATACGTTTTTCTAAACTTAGCAAGTCGTTTTTATACGGTTTTATGCTCTAAAGAGTAATTTAAAGTATTTTTAGCACTTCGAATCCTTACGGTCGAAAAACAAAAGTATTTTAGTGCAAATGTTAAGATTGGATTTTTAAAGGACATCATAGATGCATCATACATTTGGCCTAGGTTGGAGCTCTTCCCATTGATGGATGAAATTTGGTGTCAGAATAGCGAGGAGGTTTAGCTTTCATATGGAAGTCATCTTTGGCTTGATTTTTCAATAATTTTGTCTAGTTCAAATTGAGTCGTTTGCTGATGGACTAAGGGTGCGTTTTCAAGGGTGTGTCACCGATAAATACTTAATTAAGATTTTTGTTGTTGTTAATATATCACTTTTATAATGAATGTTTTAATTTCTTAAATTCAAAGAACACAATTTATATCTTGCTGTTAGATATAGTGTTGATGCTACATAACTAGATTAACTATGAAACTGTGTCAGAAGGGTGCTGAATTCGGTTTCCCTGTTTGATAATATGATTTGTTCATTCATGTTTCTCTACCATAAACTCAAAAGCATGACTACTAAAACACTCTCTTGTTATTTTTCTCATCTTTATTTTATTCCCATAAATGTGTAGTATAACAATTTGATATTTAGAAGATTTAACCCCTAAATATATATTACTGTAATTGTATCTTTATTTATGTGTATTTTAGAGTGAAAACGTAAAATACTAAGAATGTCTCCTTCAGATAAATTTGTTGCTATTAATTTCAGTCTAGTCATTTTCAACTTTCTATCACTAGTATATCATAACACTTTTGTGATCGAAGAAGGAACATCGCTAAATCAGAAGAAATAAGGCTTGTAGGAGGAGATAGACGAGGAAAACTAAGGATGGAACTCTCTTGTTTAAGAAATCACCCAAGTCTACGTCCTTTTCTAATTTTCCAATTAAAAAAAAAAAAGCCAAAAGTTTCAAATAAAATTGATGGTGAATAATGGAAAAAGAAATCGCCCCCCAAGTGCGGTGGTGGAGGGGAAGAGAATGTGGGGTTGCAAGAAGTCATAAATGTGATGACACATCGATTTCATGATAACTCCTTGTAACACATCACATGAGCTATTCAACTCCGCATGACTCCAAAACAATTCTTCAATCTTCGATTTTTCATCGTAATCAGTTTAAAAATATTTGATTTTTCATGTTAATAGAAGGACCAGCGTCAAGAAATAGACAACACTAGTAAGTACACCTGACTATTGGGATCTTATTTTTTTAGCAATCTTCGAATACTTATGAGTTATGTAGAGATTTTTAAGTTATTGGGGTTATTGGACCGATCAATTTCTTTTTCTTAAACACTCGTTTAGAGTATTAAACATAACTATTTATGTTTGTTAATGATAACTAACTTTCAAGATAAGATCACCGAACAAAAAAAAAGAGATGTTGTGAAATTAGGTAGGTGTAAACACTATCATGATGTAGCTCAAAGTTGTAATCGGAATAACATATTTCTGTGGGATTAAAAGGTTTCGGTCAAACTGACCACAACGTTTAAATTGATATCTAGCATTAATGAAATAGAAATTTCTTTAATATATATTAATAAAAATAAATAAAGGTATCCCACTTTTCAGATGTTTGGCACATTCTTTCGCTAACAAACCCTAATGTCCAATCAGCTGTCCAAACTAACAAACCCTAATGTCTGATCATCTGTCCAAACTAAAAGAAGTGAATGAACCATTTGGCTCATCCCTAACTAAACCTGAAACATTTCACTAAAGTTTTATCTTCCAATGAATGCAAATAAAAACAGTGGCCACTTGCTTTCATGTTGGTCCCAGCTTTTGCACCCTTCCGTGGTCACACTACTCTTCTCCTTTTCGTTTCTTTTCCCCCATTTCTATGAAAACTTTAGATTGATTATTACCATTTATTCACAAGCTCACCTTTTTGATTGAGTTGGTGATACATTTTTATAATTTTATAATCTTTATAATGATATACGATTCTTTCTAATAGTTTGATATCAATTCATGAAATTAGTCTTATAATAGAGTTTTAATTTATATTTCTAAATTGCGTTTATACTCATGATTTATAAATAACTAGAATAATAGTAATCAATAGGTTTTAACAAAAAATATAATAAATAGGTTATGTTTTAGTGGACAAAAAAAAGAAAAAAAAAAGAAGATAATTGTTAATGTGTATACAAAAACCTTAAACATTGATACAATCGGAGTATATAAGTTAACCCTACATAAGACATAAAGAAAAATCAACCGTAAATTTGATCGAAGTATCCCACGAATAAAGTAGATAAAGGATCTGTACTCATATACCCTTTTTTGTCATCCTATCTCTACAAATATCATCGATAATTTAGTACTCCTTCCGTTTCAAATTAGTTGTCGTTTTGGCAAAATGAATCTGTAAATATTTGGACGTATCTGAACGTGTTTTGCATTACAGATACGTCCAAATATTTGCAGATACATTTTGCCAAAACGACAACTAATTTGAAACGGAGGGAATATTGATTTAGTTTTCTTGGAAGAAAGGCCGACATAAATATTCTCGCGAATACAAATATTCTTTCACCAC